TACCATCACCCTTTGATAAGTTGCTCTGGCATTTCTCAAACCAAACGACATCACTTGATAACAGAAGATGCCCTAGGGAGTGATAAAAGAGGTTTTCTCGCGATCCTCGATAGCCATTTTGATATGGTTATATCCCGAATATCCGTCCATGAATGAGAAAATGGTGTTCGTGGATAATAGGATGTATTATCCATGAGTATGTTAATGTGTGGCAATGGGAAGTCGTCTTTAGGACTGGCTCAATTTAGATCTTTATAGTCCACACAGACTCCCACCTTCCCATTTTTCTTTAACATGGGCACTATGTTCGCAAGCCATTCAGGATATTGAGACACGATAAAAAATCTGGCATCTAACTATTTTTGGACTTCTTCCTTTATCTTGAGGGACCATTCGGGCTTGACTCTTCAAAGTTTTTGCTTTACAGGAGAAATCTCGTCTTTTATGGGCAGTTTGTGTTCGATAATTTCACGGTCCAATCCCGGCATGTCGTGGTAGGACCAAGCAAAAATGTCGACATATTCTTTTAGTAGGTCAATCAATTGATCTTCGTGCCAATCGATATCTCCTTCTTATCTTTTCCTTGCCTTAAATTAATCCTCTCAATTTCCTCTTGGTAAGGTTGGATTATTTGGTTCTCTTGGTCCATTAGTCTTTGCATCTCGGGAGGCAAATTCTCCTCATGTTCGAGTGATGTATCACACAAGTTTGGATTTTATTCAACTTCGTTTCCCTTAGCCATGTTTGCTTCCTTTAAGTTCTGTATTTAGGTTTAGAATTTTAATGCATGGAAAGTGAATGAAGGAAAGAAAAGAAAAAAGGGTAGACAAGGTTTACTGAAACAACATGTTTTATTTTAAAAAACAAAATCATTTCATGCCCTTTTATTATGGAAACCCACAACCTCGGGTGGGAGTTGTGGGTGAAAAGACAACAAATTAAAAACAAACAAAAACAGAAATGAATCCCTAACGAAAAACTCTATTCTGGCAGCCTTCCAACAACACCATCTCATGGCCTTTACTCGTCATGCTTGGGGAGCGGTTGCTTGTCGATACTAGGTGTGTTAGTGTCAAATTTTAACCACCTGGCATCTATAAGCCCCTGCACTCGAAGCTGCAAGGCCTTGCACCGCTCAACAAAATGTCTCAGGGAACCGAAGTGATAATCACAACACTCCTCAGGGTTGTACCACACAGGGAATGTGGGGTTGAATCTTTTTAGGCTTGGAAGTCGTACCAACATTGAGGCTTCCAAGAGTTGAGGCAACAACTCTGTGTAGGTGGTAGGGATCTTATCCACCACCTTCTCTTTCCATGATTTAGATTGTGATGTGCCCTGATTCTTTGGGAGACTGGTAGCTATGGTGATAGCGTTAACCCTTTTCTCCTTTTTCTTCCCGTAGGATTTCTTGGAGTCGTAGCTCATCGGGGCATTTCCTATTCTCCTGCTCTTCAAGCCTTGTTCGACCCTTTCGCCTATGGTTACTATATCGGTGAATAGGGTCAAGGTGTTCCCTATCATTTTATCATAGTCGGGTTCACCTAAAAAGTTGATGAACAATGTCACCATCTCTTTATCAGAGAGCGAGGGCTCTACTTGTGCGGCTAACTCCTTCCACCTCTGTGCGTAAGCATTGAAAGGCTATCCCTTTTCTTGCTCAAACCTTGCAAGTTAGATCTGTTAGGGACGAGGTCAATGTTATATTTGTACTGCCGAAGGAAAGCGTCAACGAGTTGCTTCCACATCTGAATTTTCCCCCCTCCAACTGCATGTACTAGTTAAGGGTCACGTCTGATAAGCTTTTTTGAAAGCAATGTATCAGGAGTTTCTCATTGCTTATGTGGGCGGCCATCTTCAGGCAGTACATCGTCAGATTCCTTTTGGGGCAACTGGATCCCGTATACTTTTGGAAGTTGGGGCTTTAGAACTTGGTAAAAAATTATATGTCCTACACTAAGCACATCTCCGTGGCTTCTTGGATGTCAAAACTATGACCCTCGACAGCTCTTAATCTTTCTTCCAAGGCATTCAGATGATCCTTGGAAGCGTCACCTACGTGACTAGCACCATTATCATCGTGTTGGAGCTTACTCATAGTTTCATACATTCGTGCCATTTGTTCCTTGAGTTGTCTGAGCTCTTCATTCAACTCACGATTTCTTTCCTCTAATGATTCCATAGCCTTTTTTCTTTGGGTCCTTGTTGTTAAGTCAGATGAAGCAAGTCCCAACAAGGTTTTGAATATGACAAATATAATACATAATGTTATTACTAACCTGTATAGTAGTGTTTCAGATATGTATAGGAACAGGCAAAACTAAAGCATGAAGCTGGTTGAGCAAAAAAAAGATAAGAGAAATCAAGCCAAATGATAGAAGGATCATGACTTGTGCACTAGACGACAACAAACACCAAACAAAGATAAGTCAAAAACAATCCAGAGCGCAATATAAGAAATTAGAAACAAGAGCAAAACTAGACCAAGACAAAAGAAGCTCAATGGTCAACCATATAAAGGTCAACAAAACAATCATCAGTCGTTGGATAACACAAGACAAAGTGATGGAATGATGCCTAGGAAGGCAAGGGGTGACACCTTGAAGGATCTAAGAGGAATGAGGTAGACATGAAGGTTTGGGCCAGTCAAGGCCCAACGGGCCTAATAGGCTTTGAAGGCCCAAGATGAGTCACATGGGTCATATCTTGTTATAGTCATTTTTCTTATGTTTTGTATATATCATGTTAGTATAAGTTTCATATATTTTGGTCTTGTACTTTGGACCATATAGGATAGCATTTTGGGCCATAGGCTCAGTGGGCCTAGTTTTAGGCTTCACGGGCCTTTGGGTTTTTAGTACCCAATATTGGGATCATTTTCATTCTTGTAATTTTTCCTTTCCATTTTATTTTCTTGGCCATTGTATTTAGGCCATTAGCTTAGGAATTTAGGAGGAATAAGTATTAGGCATGAATCTTAGAATGCTAATTACATTTAGGAGTAATTAGAGTTTCATTTGAGTCACATGATTTGTGCCAAAGGGGGCGGCACATGTGAGCTCTTAAATGAACCCTAAATTAACTCCAAATGCAAATTAGGATTCTAGAAAGGATGGTCGCACATGGCATGGTCAAGTGGACGGCCAAATTTGAATTCAAATTCAAAATTTGAATTCAAAATTGGCGCCACTTTTGAGCACATGTGTGTAAATGCTTCATTCCTCACTCTTGTAACTTTACTTTGAATCATATATGAGAATTTTGAACTTTTCATTCAACAACTCTCTCCCTCAAAGTCACTTAACCGAAGTGTTCTTAGAAGTTCTTCTAAGAATTAACCTAATTTTTGAGCAATCCTTTGCTCCTCTTGCTTAGGTGCTTCCGGTTCTTCTTTCACCTTCATCTCCATCATCTAATCCATGTTTACCTCTCCAATTCAACACCACAAGGAAGTGATCAAAGGCCGAGCAACTAAAGTGTGAAGATCCTCAATCTTCTTCACTAGGAGTTGCCATCATTTTTTGGTATAAGAGCTTAGGTTCTTCACTTGAGTTTATGTGCTTCACTTTCACCGATTGAAATTGTGTGTTAGTGTTCTTAATTGTCTCATCTTTTCTTCTTTCCGATTGGATCTAAATTTTCTACTCAAATTTGATAGATCCAAGTGAGTGATTGTATTTGTGTTCATTCCAAAATCACTAGGCGTCTAGGTTTTCTACTTGTGAGGTTTGAATTGTTTGAGTGATGTTCTTTTAAATTTTGATTCGGTCATCTTGAGTATTGCATGTGTTTCTTTTAATTTTTGAATCAAAGTTTGTCTAGAAGTCATGTTTACTCACTTTATTGTCATTGATTCAAGATGTGCTTAGTTTAAACTTTTTTGTTTGATTCATGTTCTACTAAAATTGCTTTGGCCGAGAGCTTTATAGTTTGTGCTACGCATATGTGCTTTTTCCTTTGCAATTTTGAGTTCATATTCATCATTAGTTCATTGATGGATTCTTAGAGTTAGGTTTCCATTGTGTCATTCTTGTTTGTATTGTTTTGATTCCAAGAAAATTTTCTTAAACAAAATTTGTGTTCATATTGATTTAATTGTTGGCTAGTTGAAGTAGTTCATTTTGGTGCATGATTTGTGACTTTTGAATCTGAAAAATTACTTTTGAAAATAGAGGAAAAACAGAATTATATTGAAAAGAAGTTAAAAAAAAGTGAAAAGAAACAAGTTCAATAGGGATAAGAATATGCACCAAAATTTCATTCAAATTTGAACTACTTGTAGTTGAAAATTTTGAATCAATCCGGACTTGCTTCCTTCATCTATAGTGGCTAAAAAATTTTCTGGAAAAAGGCAAAATACTCCTTAAGAATTCAAGAAAAGAACTGAAAAAGAAAAGATTATATATATAAAAAAATTTATCCAAGTAGAAAAAGGCAAAGGAGTAACCTAAAACATTGTTGTTTTGCCACTTCAAGTTGAACCGGATTCTCTTGTTACTAATCATCTCTTAATCCTTCTTTTGTTTAATTTTGGTTTTGTTAATCCAATCTAGAGCTAATCTAGGAATTTCCTTTTTGTGTGCCAACCTTTAGGTGTGTCTTAATTTTTAGTCTTTTAGTCTTGATTGGAATTCTTTGAGTTTGTCACCTTATAACTCCTAATTGGTTTAGCTTTCCCAATTGTGCATTTTCTATTTTTTTGCTCCTTGGATTCTTGGCTGGAAGTTGCATCAAACTTATGCAAAAGGAACAAACATTGGCTCACAAATCCTAGAGGAAGGACAAGAGCTCTAAGGCTAGGCGGTTTTGGAGAACATTCAACATTACCTTTCTTAAACCTCCTAGACAACCTTCACAAGAGTGATCCCTCCTTTTCCATTGTGAGGTGGCCTTTAATTTTCTGGATTAATTTTGTTCTTTGTGCAGGTCAAGAACTTCAAGGAGGAAACAAATTAGAGATGGATTGAAGTTGTACAATTTTGTTGAAAATCCGTCACTAGTTAAAAAGAGATCGGTGGCGAGCTCTTGTGCGAGAGCGAGGCGGTGGAGTGGGCGCAGTTGATACTTCGAAGGTGTCTTTTCCGGGCCGAGCTGCTGGCGCCTCCTCCAGCGAAGCCGCCTGCGATTGTGTTGATTATTCCCCGCAAGGGGGCTGATTCTGTCTCCTGACCTATTTCAGCATGTACTGCGCCATTGGCATTTTGCTGGGACCCTGCGGGTAAGTCTGTGCGAGTTCCTGACCCGCGGCCTCTCCCGCGTCCCCAGCCTCTAGAGCCTCCTCGGGAACCTTGCTGTCGCTGGACGTACTGGCCGAGGTGGCCTGCCTGGATGAGTTCTTCGATGCGATCCCGGAGCGTGCGACACTCGTCCGTGGTGTGGCCATAGTTCCTGTGATACCGACAGTGCTTGGACTTATCGGCGCTGTTGGGAGTGTGGCCGGGTGGTGGGAGGGCTAGTAGGTTACTGTTACTGGCTTCCTCCAGGATGTGGACTCTCGGGGCGTTCAGGGGAGTGTAGAAGTCATACCTCCCGCCTCTGTTTGCCCTGGCCGACTTCTTGAATTGGCTGTCATTATTGACTTTTACCTTATCTTTGTGACCCTGTTCCGGTTTCGCGGGGCCTTTCCCGTGAACTTGGTCGCGGAAGGCCGAGTGCTCTTCCATCTTAATGTAGCCGGCGGCGCGGGCAAGCAGTTCGTCCATGTCGCGGGGGGCATCGCGACATAGACTGTCGATGAATGATCCGAGTTTCAGTGCCATGAGCATGGCGTGCAGGGCGACCTCCGGGTTGAGATTTTGGATTCGAACTGAGATGTTGGAGAAGCGCTCCATGAAAGCTCGCAGAGGTTCATCGTTGTTCTGCCTGAGATTGGCCAAGGCGGCCAAGGTTGTGTGGTGAGGTTGACTGGTGGCGTATTGTGCCATGAATCGCCGCACCAGGGTGCCAAAGTTGTCGATGGATTCGGCTGGTAGTTGGGTGTACCAATGGAGCGCGGGTCCCTTGAGCGAGGTCGGAAAAACCCTACACAATATAGCGTCACTGTTCGTGTAGAGGTTTACCTGAGTTGTGTACGAGTCGATGTGCTTGTCGGGGTCCGTGGTGCCGTCGTAGCGGTCAAGGTGGAGGGGTTTCCACCCGCGGGGCAGTGGGGTCTCCATGATGTCGTCCACAAAAGGATGACGACGGAAGGGTTCTTGGCCCTCGGAGACATGGGTAGGGGCCCTGCTAGTACCCTGCCCTGATCTGTGCGTTGATGCATGAGACGGGTGCGTGGTGGGCCGTGAGGTCGGTGCCTTGGGCGTCGCTCGGGATTGGGAGACCGAATGTGCCTCCTCCTCATGAGTGTCGCTCTCGTGCGGATGTTGTTCGGAGTGGTGTCGAGGGAGCTGGGCGCGAATGACCTCATTTGTAAGACATATGCTCTTAACTTATATCATTTATGATGTCTGATAATAGAATATTTTTATTTACATGATTCCTTAATAGATCGAATTGATAAAGCTTCTTTGGTACTCACAATTCACTAAAGGAACTAAATACATACTTTTCATCAGAAAAAGGACTAGCATATATATCCCACAAAAAATAAAAACTACAAAAAAAAGTTGTTTCGGACTCACATATAGTTCCTCTCTTTTTGGTACCTAAAATATGATAAGTAGTTTCTTTGATTAGATAAGAAGTGACAATTTGGTGAAACACATTTAATGCACCAATGATCACTTCCCTCTACAAGGAACAAAGATAGAAACAAACAAAGCATGGCTATAAGAGATACTCAAAGTTTTACAAAGATCATCTTCATAAAACACTTATATATAGAATCTTGAAGATTCAAAAAGAAAGGGAATCCATATTCATTGTAAAAAAATATTCATTATTTTTTGTAAGAAATATTGTACCTAAATGGTTGTTCACGTCTTAATAGTAACACGAAACAACATTGTTAGCTTATCCAAATTTAATTTTATGATATTGTTTTAAGTCTGAAGAGGCTTAACTATATATAAAAAATACTTAGTTGTTAGAGCCTAGAGAGACTTGATTGTAATAGAATACTTGGTTGTTAAAACCTAGAAAGACTCTGTGTTAAAATAATACTTGGATAATTATTTAAAAAGGCAAGTCAAAGAATATTTAAGTTTAGCTATAAATGACTTGTGAAAGAATACTTGTATCTTTGTAAAATATAGTGAAACTTGATCGACTTTATCAATAACTGGACATAGTCCCGATGATTGAAACGAACCAATATAAAAACACTATGTATTCTTCTTACGTTTCTTTTCGTCTGCTCTTTTGCGATCTTGTTACTATCTTCTTTATTTAAAAAAAGTGTTGAATTTTTTATATACACTATGTAACTGCCCCATTCTAGTGTCTCTCTTTTCTCTATAATTTGGAACCAGAGCTTACCCTTTGACGGGATTGAGCATCTAATTGTGTTAAAGGAAAAGATTTTAAGATGAGAAGTAGTGAAAGTCAGTATATACTTGAAAGAGCTTCTTTTACAAGGTCTCTAGCCCTTAACAAAGAAGATTACCCATATTGAAAGGACAAAATGGAAATGTTTATCAAGTCCACCAACATCACCTTTGGAAGATCATTACAAAAGGCGATGTTGTAGTTACCAAGTCATGCTCTAACATTTGATAAATGACTTGATAATTAGTATTTAATAATATTTAGACTAAATTACACTTTTAGTTTCATTTTTATTGTATTTTCATGTCATATATCACCTTAATGAGATAAAAATGAGAATTAAAAGTGAATTTTAGCTTAAATATTAAAAAGTTATGTCATGTGCTTAATGTTAAATCATGACTAACGTTATAATTTTGGTCTCCTTATTGAATGTTTGTATGTTAACCATTAAAATTAGGTTAAAAGTCTAATTTGGTCCCTTATAATATTAAAAAGTTTCAATTTGATCCCACTTTAATTTTAGATTTCAATTTGGTCCCAATTTAATTTAAAATACCTTAATGTAGGATTTTTGTCCAAATTTGACTAACAGGATTAACTCTTGGCCACGTGGATGCCTACATGGAATGAACAAGTTAAGTTTTCTTCTTCTTTTTTAATGGTCCAATGGCTAGTTTTCTTCTTCTCTTCTTCTTCGCGGATTTGGGGGTTTAGGGATTTTGATTAAAAATGTTGTTGCCATTTCTAGTTTGGGGATTTGCCCTAGTTTCTCATTTGGGGGTTTTGTGACTTTGATTAAAAAATTTGTAGTTTGGTGTGTTGAACAACAAGGATACAACTTTTGAAGCATTTACTGATGTTTAAATTTAAGTGAACTGGGATCATGAGCGTGATTCTCACAAGCCTTTGCATGTACATTTTGGTTGGTTCCCATGCCGTGAGAATCACAAGCGTGAACTGGAATCACGGGCGTGATTCTAATGGGGCTCTACATCATATTTTGGTTCCCAGGTCACGGTGACATTGATTCTGATGGGGCTCTGCTTCACGGCGATGTCAATTTCGCCGATGAGGAGGGCGCGACTGAGGACGCGCGTGGTAGACTTGAGGTCGGCGAAGGCGACGGTGACGGCGCGGTGGTCATTGGCGCGACGCTACATGAATTGGTGGAGGTCTAGGGTTTCGGTGGAAGAAGAAGAGAGAAGAAGAAGAAGAAAACTTTAGGTAAATCTACGTAGGCATCCACGTGACCAAGAGTTAACCTCGTTAGTCAAATTTGGACGGAAATCTCACATTAAGGTATTTTAAATTAAATTGAGACCAAATTGAAACGTAAAATTAAAGTGAGATCTAATTGAAACTTTTTATTATTATAAGGGACCAAATTAGGCTTTTAGCCTTAAAATTATAATGTTAGTCATGATCTAACATTTGATAAATGACTTGATTATTAGTATTTAATAATATTTAGACTAAACTACACTTTTAGTTTCATATTCATCATATTTTCATTTCATATACTACCTTTATGAGATAAAAATGAGAATTAAAAATAAATTTTAGCTTAAATATTATTAAATATTAAAACATTATGCCATGTACTTAATGTTAAATCATAACTAATATTACAATTTTAACCAACAAATGGACAGTCAACAAGGAGAAAAAAATTGTAGATTTTATAAAATTAGGAGACTAAAATTAAAAAATTAAAAATAGAATATCAAAATTATAATATTATAGAGAGATCAAAAGTGCAATTTAGCAAAAATATTACTCACTTTGGTCCAAATTTTTTAAAAAAATTTAATATATAGTTTAAATGATGATATCAACATATATTTAAGAATTAAAATGATATTAAATAATTATTTTTAAGAATTTGAATAAAATAATTAAAACTTTCAATAGTATTTTTTAAATTCTTTACTGACTAAAATATCAACGACATACACTTTTAATAACACATAATATTTATACCAAAAATAATTATATATACTATTTTAATAATTTTTATGATCAAAATTATGACAAACTTCTACGAGATAAAAATTTATTATACTAATACTTGTTATTTTTTGTTAATCATTTGCATTTCCAGCTAGTTCTAATTCAAGATTAGATATACTAACACACACTTGGAATTAGAGTGGCCAAATAGCAACCTGTCTCGCCATTAACCGCCAAAAAGCAAGACAACTCGCCCTAATCAACATAAAACTTGGAAGTTTTATCATGCAGATTACTGATCAACCCATTTTATAAATAAAAAATAATAATTAACTTTATTTATATATAATATTCATTAAAAAATATATACATTAACTTAAATGTTTACATAATAATTTATTTAAACACAAAAAGTTAAACAAAGTTCATAAAATAATGACATAATTATTTAATTTAGCTGATATACATATATAATTATATATACTATAATTTTAAACATAAATTCAAAAACCTCAAAACTAATATTTAAATCTTGTATATTAATATTAATATAATAAAATCCTAATACACAAAAGTAACAATATTTAACAGAAAAAGAAAATAGATTGGTGGGTTAACACCAACTCACCTCCAACTAGAGCTGTCAAAATGGGCTAGCCCAGTTCATGTGGGTTGGTCCACCTTGACCCACTTTAAAAACGGGCCAACCTAACTCGGCTTACTTTTGATTTTCTCAAAATTTTTCTAGTCTGGCCTGGGCCACCACAGGTTGGTGGGTTATACGAGCCAGCCCACCAGCCCACCAGCCCACCAAAAATTAAAAAAAATTATCAATAAAATTCAAAATTTTAAATTAATTATAAATTACATATTACTCGTAAAATTAACATCATTAATAACCATAAGTCATAATACAAACTTAAATATAAATCATGATAAAAGTCTAAAATAAAAATTTTCAGCATTCCATCATACAAAATTAACTACAAATCGTAATTAAATTTTCATTACAAAAAAAATTGGTAAATTGCTCGGCCCACCACGAGTTCAGCCTAGGTAGGCCGGGTGAAAGTGGGCCGGATTTAAATATACTCATCTACTATAAAACTTCCATTTTTTTGGTCAAATCCGGCCTATTTTCAAGGTAAGCTGGATTGGCCTACGGGCCACAGTGCACTTCAACGGCTCTACCTCCAACTCATTTTTTTTTACGATTAATTGTCACAAGTCAAAAATTAGTTAGTAGGTTGAAACTTCAACTTGTTACCCAAAAAGAAAAGTAAAAACATGTTAATCCAATATGTTCAACCCATTTTTTCACTCCTATTTTAACTTCATATCAACTTCATGCCATGATTAAATGAGACTTGATAGTGTAACAAAAGAAATGATTGAAAGACAAACAAAATGATGCATTCTAGCGTGGGAAAGGGGACAATGTCTACCACCGACCCGTGGGAGATTTTTGTTAGATAAAAGTTTTAAAAAATATTTTTAATCTTGGTAAAATAAAATCCAAACATACTAATCTTACAGGAACAAAAATTATATTTAAATCATTTTTTTCCGTAAGAATTACAGTAACAATATTTGAATCAAAGACTTGTTTATAAATATATAAATTATATTTTAAATTTACAATAAATAATTTATATTATAATAAAAATTTATTTTAATTATAGTGATATTGAAAAATGAAATTCAATATAAAATTAAAAAATAAAAAGATAAATTAAAACTTATCAGAAGTTGAGAAAAATTCTTATTAACAATGCTTTCATTCGAAATGAAAAAAAAAATTAAATTGTTTTCATCAAAGAATACTCTACTATTGTATAACATAACTATCTTGATATATTCTTTATAAGTCAAAATCTGTTGTCACATGTGTTAAATTTTGTTAAATTACACCTTTAACATTTTTTTTAGAATACAAATTTAACTAACTCAATTAGGGATGAACACGAGAAGGATGTATACAAGTTTTTCTTTAAAAAATTATTAGGATCATTTGCTCTATCGAAGCCTAACCTGACAAATTAGGGACAAGACTAATTTCAAAATAAATAAAATAATAACTTAAATATGTTTTAAGTCTTTATAACCATAGCTTTGTCTTGTTTTAGTTTTTACAACATCATTTTAAATCTTTGAAATTTCCTTACAATCCTTTTTTAATCCTTATCATTAACATTAGTTAATTTAGTGTTAAAATGACTAACAAAATAAAAAATATTAATTAAAATAATTAAGGTAACAAATAATATTTTAAATTAAGATAATTCAAAACATATTTATATGCATAATTTAATTATGTAACATATTTATTATTTTATATAAACAAAATAATTGCATAGTATTTTTTATAATTTAACCTTTATTCTAACGGTAAGAAAAATGGAACAAGATTTTACGGTTGACCTAATGGTAATAATAATACACAAATCCTAGACTCAAATATTGTTAGTGTTGTAATTTTCAATGATAAAAAAAATTATTTAAATATATTTTTAATCTTTGTAAAATAAGTAAATATGGATTTTGATCTTTATAATTTGTATTTATTTTTTTATCTTTCTAAAATTTATAATTGTTGATTTTAGTCTCTAATATCATGTAATCATTTTAACTATTTATTTGTTCACTAAAAAATTAAGTGATAATTTCAAGTGATACACAACTATTATTAATGTTATGTTAATGTGTGACACTTTTAAAATTGTATAGGTCCCTAAAAAAATATTATATATAAAAACCTTAAAATCATCACTAGGTGTAAAAAATAATAATTTTAGATTTTATAGGATGAAAACAAAAATTTATAAAGATTAAAACTAAAATTTATTCATCGTAAAAGGAGCAAAAATGAAGTTTACAAATTTTAGATTATTAAAAACAAAAACAAAAAACATCGCTGAAAAAAAACTTAAAACTCACTCATTTTATGGTGACTTAATATATATATACTCCAAGAAAATTAAATAATTGTCTGTATACTTTTTAAATAATTAATAAAAAAATTAATTAATTCATGCGTTATTTTTGATAAAAAAATTCTCAAAGGATAGGAAGACTTGATTAGTTGGAATACCTTATCAACTAAGAATATGGTCTTTATTACCAAGTGTTTTCGAGCACGGGTTTGGCACGCCGGGCGTATGAAGCTTTTTGGAGTCTCTACCTCCTAGCACGTCGGGTACAATTGAAATTTGCGCCAAGCGGGTTTAAGCCTTGATGCTCTCTGGTTGGGCCACGCCGGGCGTGACCATGAGTGCGCCAGGCACGAACGTGATCTTTGTGATATGCTAATATGTGCTGAGAAATGTTGATGTTTAGATGAGCTAAGCTGTTGTAAGCCGTAAGGATGAGCTGTTATAGGCCGTAAGGCTGAGCTGTTGTGGGAGATCTCCAAGCTGATATGCGTGACGACGCATTATTTGTTTACTGCTATTTTTGCTGAATGATGTGAGTTGTATATGTGATGAGTTGTATGCTGATGATTGCCAAACTAGATGATGTGCTTATAAGCTATAGTTGTTTATAATTGTTGTACATATATATCTATATATGCTGATTCTTTTCACTAGCTTACCCTTTGTTGTTTCCATGTGATTTGGACTGCAATGATCATACTGTGTATGAGAGCAGAACAAGGATAGGTTAGTGTGCTTGAGGCATGTCTGTAGCTGGTAGATGGAGTTTGATGTTTATGTTGTTTTTGGCTACTTAGTGTAACAATTGGGCTGTATTTTGTATTTTAATTTGAAGTCTCAGGCTAGACCTTGTGTATATATTTTAGCTGCTTATATATATGCATGCTCTTTTTTGTGTAGTGCTATGATGTTTTACTGTGTGACGGGCAGGCCGGTCGTTACACTGCCAATTCAAGATTAAGGATGTTAAGACGAGAAGAAGGTAGATAGCAGGTCCTCATCAACCTTTCTGTTTAGTATTAATATCCATTTAACAAGTTTTTATGATTTTTTTAATATATATTTTAGGATATTCACGAGTATCCATAAATATGTGATAAAATTTTAAATTTTAAATATCAAGGCAAAAAAATAAAATAAAACTAAAAATAAATAATTTTAAAACATATACTTAATACTTATATCAAAAAATAATTATAATATATATATTAAAAAATAATTTTATAACATATTTGTACTAAAAATATATAATTATAACACATTTAATTTAAAAATAAATTAAATCAGATTACTTTACACATAACTAGATGGACTAAAACATTTCGTGTCATTAATAGTTATACAGAGACAGAATATTAGAAAATTGCGTGTAATTATTTAGATAAGATATAAGAAAAGAAAATTTACATCCAAGGAGTATAATAATTCACTAAATAATAAAAATCAAGAGCAATTACATACCTACCCTCTATATAATAGGTATAGATTAAGAATATTCTTAATAATTTTAAAATTAAATATCTACAAGTACAAGTACCTTACTTTCTATCTCTAGCACATTAATAAGTGAACACCTATTTTATTATCCAATTAAAATTCATTTTATCGACAGATATACATGATTACAAGTATTTTTACCATCCCTAATCAGGACCATCAATACTTGAAAGCTTTTATCTAATGCTCATGTTCCCCGCCCACGCCCCTAATACTCGCTAGGATAAAATCTGGATACCCACCCCTGCCCCCGACAGGGTTCGAATTTCCCCGTCTCGCCCCCGCCCTCACTCCTGGACCTTTTTCTTCTAATAAATATGAAAAAAAATTAAAAGATAAAATAAAATAAGATAATACAAATTATTACATATAAAAAAAATTAATTTTACTTTATATATATATATATAAATAAATTTTTTAATTATATTATTAAGCGGGGCGGGAATAGAGACAGAGACGAGACAAGTATTAACATCCCTCGTCCCCAATTTTAACTAAACAGGAATAATTCAAAGGTCAACACGGATTTTCTCCATCCAAATCAAGGTGAGTTCGAGCAGGTACTCACGGGACCGGATTAGAAAAATGTCATGCCCGGACAATACACTTTGTCACACTAAACAAAATATTATAACATATACGAACAAATTGATTTACAAGATGACAAGTCAAGCAAAAAACAGATGGAATTTGTTTTTATAATATAATACTTTATAAATACACCCTTCTAGTTTTTATTATTATTTTCAATAAAGGCTAATTTTTATTTTCTAGTACATATAACCTTGCTGCCACGTGCTACATTGCTCGAGCAAGGGTTCATTCATACAAATTTAACATGAGCTTATGTCAGATCAGTGGTGAGAGATTAGGATAATATGCAATAATCTTAAATTCGAACTCTCATGATCATTGTAATTCTGATAAATAAATATTAAAAAAAAAGAATACACCCCCTATTCCCACCATAAAGCAATATGGCCAATAAAATCTGCAACAAATTTTAGAATGTAATTACTAATAAAAATATCATTAAAGCAATGGAATGTTCTTGATGATAAAAATTCTACAAAGCACACATTAGAAACAGCTTCGAAAATTATCAGATATCAGATCTACGACGATCCAATAAGAAATACAACCTCCAGCAAAATTGAAAGGTTTAGGTATAAGTCGCATAAAAAATTTAAAAACACTAACAAAGGCCACTCAGTACTTAACTGGAGCAAGAATATCAAGTTGAGAACCGAGCTTCTCTTCAGCAACCTTCTCAGCTTTCACCCTTAATTTGTTGAGTTGCTTCTTTTTCTCATAAACCAAATGTGCTTTTTCCTTTCTCTTCTTTTCCAGCTCCTGTGAGCAATAAAACAATTACTCACCTCACCAAACACAACTTTTTCCCATTTGGAAAGCAAAATTCATGGCACAAAAAACCAAAATTTCCAGCAAACTATTTTTTACTTCCCTCTAAATATTGAACAAATGTAATACATATGCATGGCCAAACTCGGCAGAGAAAACAGATTCACAGAAACAAAGTAATAGTAGAAATAGATAAATAGTAAACAAATATAGTCTTCACATTTGGTGTAAAGAAATTAGACAAGATCATATTGGCAGCATATGAACAGGTAGCAGAAGCTCAAAAAGCAAGAACTTACCCTGATGGTATCATAGTAGTTCCATCCAACTTCAGATGACAACCTGCCTAGCACGCAGTACTTGTGTCCTTTCTGAAGCCTCAACACCCTGATTTCATTTTTCATTGATTAGTTTAACATTCTCAAGACAAAGAACAATTCAAATAACATAAATATCACCCGAAAAAACAGTTCAGGAGGATAGAACACTTACTTCAGAGCATCAGGAACAACCATTCTCTTTATCTTGTCATATGGAGGAGGAATTCCCTCATAAACCTTCAATCGATCAAGAGCAGCTTCTCCACGCTTTGTTTTGTGTGGTATCATTCTACAAAAACAGAACATATTAAAATTCATCCTTTCTTCAGATATAGTAAACAAAACACTTCTTTTAAAACTTCCCAACATATCAATACATTTGTTTTCATTATCACAGAACAAAATTCTTCAAACAATCTCAGCACACACAACAAACAAGACCTGACCTAAAAAGCCAGCAATAAATATCAAGCAAATCATAACTGTAAATCATTTCATACTCAAAATCCCTAAACCATTTACCAACCACAGTCACAACAAGGTTTTAAAAAAGGTCTGTGACAACAATTCTGGCCGCAACATCAAAGATTTTAAGGTTTTAGCAATCATAAAGTCTGCAATTTCCAGCAATATCAAGGGTTGTGAAAATGGCGATTTTGAAAACAATTTAAAACATTAATTACAGAACTCACAGTCTGCTCAAACACATACAACACATTACATTCATCCTTCCTTCATATAAAGTAGATAGTTTCAGTACCTACATTGACGCCACTTCCCTTAAAACCCCCCAAAATGTCATCAACCCAATCCTTTCTTATCACATAACGAAATTCCTTGAACATTCTCACCCCCCCAGGCCCCCACAACACCAAAGAAAATCAGACCGAAAACACCACCAATTAACATCGAATAAATCACAACCATAAACCCCATTTCACACACGAAAACCTAAACCATTCACCAACGAAAATCATAACAACCCTAAAATCAACATTCTAAAAGAAAACACGAAAGCCTCATTAAAACAGTTTCCTCTCATGTATCTTACATATCAAGATCAAATCAAGTGAAGAAAAAAAAAACTTTCCGGCTTCAAAACAATGTCAAACATTAAACAAGGACATCTTTCCCAGCAAAAATCCAAACCTTTGTTTGTCAGTTGTAGAAAACTAGCCCCCCTATAAAACGTGGGCACTTTTATCAGTGAGAATTTAAACAACCTTAACTTATAGGAAACTAAAACCCTAACCTAAACCCAATCCTATTCGAGACCATGTTGGACATTAAATTTAAACACTGCCTCCTAACATGAATTCAATTCATAATGGTATACTAGCCCCTTACCCTAAATCCCCTATACCAAACCCTCATTGTAAATGTACTCCAATCAAGGCTAACAACTTTTGCACTTATCTTGCTTACTTCATACTAACAACATGATTATAAAATATAATTATAATGAGATTAGTGATCAGCAAAATCCATCCATATATAATGTAACTAACATAGTTACAAGAAAAATCAAAGTTTTGTCAAAAAAGAAAAAAAGAAAGGACGGACCCACGAACGGTGCGCCAGAAGATCTTGGAGGGGGCACGGAAGTGGATGGGGCCGTGGGAGGGTTTGGTGTTCATGCGTTTGCGGAGGAATCTCATGTACTTCATTTTCTGCCTAACGAGGCCTCCGGATATGCAAATCTCTTCGCACCGCACGACCACCACTCTCTGCCCGTTCAGCAGCTCCTTGGCCACGATCGAAGCGAGACGACCCAGCATGTGGTGACGCGCGTCCACCACCACGCGCTTCGCGCAGATCCCCGAACCTGACACCATCTTCTTTTCCTCTTGCTGCTGCTGCTTCTCTTAGCCTCGTCCTTTCAGGGTTCCCAGTATATATATATATATGAGATATATACAAAAGTAAGGTTTTTGCGTTTGGAGTTGGACTTGGGCTTTTTGGACCTGACCCAACTAACACAACACAGTATTAATAATACATTTCTATTATTTTTTTAAAAAAATATTTTTAATGTGTTTTTTTTTACTTTTTAATTTTTCGTCTTTATGAACGGCTGCTTGTAAAAGCTTTTTTTTTTAAATAAATAATTAAAAATAAAAAGAAATATATTTCATTAATAAAATAAAAGGGAGAGAGCTCAATGGAAATATTTGAACTAGACTTTAGGTTTAATTAGAGGTTAATTCAAATAAGAGAGGTTGGATAAGATTTGTGCGTTTCTAAAATAAGAGCTTACAAGAGAAGAAACAAAGGATATTGGGGCAAAATATAGTTTGATAGTAGAAGTTACCTAAGAGACACCGTTCCACAAGACTCGTCACTCTAGGTTGAGGATACCATTCCACGAGACTCACCACTTCAGGTAAAGGAGGAGAATTATTTTATCCTAAGCATGCATGAGAGATAAGGGTAGAGAGATGAACCCTAGGCCTATTAGGTTATTTGTTTAAAAAGATTATTTTGAGTATAAATTGATTGAAATCACATTGTTATATGCTACAATTTTGATTTGTTGAATTGATCAAATAGATATTAAGATTATTCATTTTGAGAGTTAAGATCGTTATGTATGAATTTTGGGGTTTGAGATTGTATGCATAATTTGGATATTTAGTGTAATTAATTTTAATTCAGAAAAATTAATAGGTGATGTTTAATTTGAGGATGATAATGTTAAGATTTGAAGTAAAATAGAGAATCATGTGCAAAATAGTCAAGCTTAATGAGATTTCATACCACAACTATGCTTAAAGGAAGCACACCCATGCATGACCAAATTTGAAAGAAGCATGGCCATGCTTAATTAAGCACACTTGTACATGCTAAATTTTAGTGAAGCACAATCGTGCTTATTTTATATATAGTTGTGCATCTTTTTAAAATATAAAATAACTTTTAATGTCTTCATAAGAATTGTAGCCTTAGATGTTAGCTTTCCAATGGCACTAGAATCACCCAAAAAATAGGTCTAGAACTCAATATATGGTCAAATTAGTTAGCAAAGGTTAACTTGTTAAAATTAGGCTAAAATATTTTGGTTTTGTAATTTTTAAAAATAATAGGACATGAAATCAACTCTTGAGGTAAACATAAAAGTTGTAGATAATTATCTTAGTTTCCTAAGAAAATTGAGATCAAATTGATAGCATAGATACATCTTTAAATAGCCCATATAGACCACACCACATCGTAGAAGGTTAAGATGAAAAGAACAGGTTTTGTTAGTTGTTTTATTCCTTGAGTGTTTAATATTGAGACTTTATGCCTATATGTGATATGAAGCATGGATGTGGAATTGAGAATGATGTGTATAATATTATGTTGTGTGATGATGCTATGATGATGATGTAAAGTTTATATGATGCATGAAATGAATGATATGGGATTAATGTTGAGTTGTAATGAAGCATATTGTGATGAAATATGGTTGAGTTGATGATGAAGATTTATGTTGAAATATCATTTAGTCATTGTAATGATGCATATTGTGAAAATATTGATGATGAAATATGATTAATAAGTTTAGTGATGCGAACTGACACTCGAGGAGTTGAGAATGCATTTGTGTGGTTGAGTTGATTATTTGAGTTATGATACCATTCTTTGTTTCACGAGATAGGTGAATTTATGCAGGTGGGATATGATAGGTCATCTACCTATGCTCTAGGGGCGTTATGATAGGGAAACCTCTATAAGGAATGAGAGGTTACCATGACCAGTTATGACACTTCAACAAGACCCTTGTGGAGAAAAGATAAATACTAGAAAAAGGGGCTAAACATTGTGTATCAAAAACTCACACTTTTTACATAATGAAGTAGCAACGCTTAGTCAAATGAAGTGCAAAGAGAAATAAGATGGAACACTAAGCATTTTTATACTGGTTCGTCTCAACCACCGAGACTACATACTATTCTCAATCTAACTAGATTAAGTTCCATTGTCTATCAACAAAGATACAAGTATTCTTTCAACAAGCCACTTCTGGCTCAACCCTAAGTATTCTTTAACTTGCCTCTTGTAGACACCAGGTTTTGTCTAAGCTATTCCTACAAGGGTCGGGAGACTTCTGAAGCAAGAAAAGCAGCCCTTGAAAGTCGAGGAAGGACGAAAGTAGGTCGAGACGAGGTCCAGGAAGCCTAGAAGTCACCTTTTACACGAGAAACCCTAGATTAGGCTTAGAATAGTCATTCCCAATGAAATTTTTAGTATGTTTTGGCAATCCAGAATGGTCGTTCCCAAAAACCCTAATCATGTGTAAATCTAAAGCACGAAATGGCCATTCCAGACTTGGGAACGATTGGTCCCCTTCCCTAGGCGCCTATAAAAGTGTGCCTAAGGCTCACTCTCCCAGACAAACCTTATAGACTAAATTCGTCTCCCCTCTTTGGGATTTCTGAGTGATAGTAAGGTCTTTGTAGAGCGAAAGGTTGCTAAAAAGCGCCCATGTACGAATTTGTGAAGAAGATTTATAAAAAGCTTGCTTCGGAGGTTCTTAATTCTTTTATTTTATTTACTATGTTGTTTATTGTTTTTCCTGTATGCATAGAATAGGTACCATGTAGATAATAAAATTAATGCGTGTGTTGTAGATTAGTGATGGAACCATCTTCTCCATGGGAGCAAGTTGATGATTCTTTCTCTTCTCCAAGGTTGAAGGACAATGATGGTGACCTCTTCAAGGGTGGAAAATGACGCAAAGTTGAAGGGATGGAGGGAGGTGGCGCAATAAGGAAGGAAGTGAAATGGGTGGTTGTCAAAACCCAAACAATTCTGATTTTACCCACAGATGGTTTAGACTTCAAATTTGAAAATATCACCAATTAAGGAATGTCCGGATTCCAAACTAATCCTTAATTAATGATTTTGAAAAAAGTTTGAAAAAGTCACCACCAATGTTTTACTCAAAATATCGGAAAAAGAAAAAAGTTTTAAAAATGCCAAAATGGCCTTTACGGGCAAAATTTGGGTTCAGGGGTCGATTACGTGTAGGAAATGTGTTAGGCACCCTATGACGTCCTAAATCGGTACCATATGATGAAATTAGCGCGATCGAGAATAATAATTTAAAATCTTAGTT